TGATCTGTTTCTTGTCTCTGACGGCTTTTAATATTCTGTTCTTATATTGAATTTCTGGCATTTTGATTATTATATGCCTGGGTGTAGCTCTATTTGGGTTGTAGGTGGCTGGGGTCGTGTATGCTTCATACATCTGAGTATCTTTACCTTTTGCTAAATTAGGAAAATATTTCTGGATTATTTCTACAAGTAGCTTTTGTAGTTCATTTGTTTGTGTCCCTACCTCTTTTTTTACGTTCTTAATTCTTAAATTACAGATCCTCTTATCAACTTCTAGTCTTTGTATTATTGCTGTTTGTTTCTTTGTTATTTTTAAGAAGTTTTTCATTTCATGCTCCCATATTACAAATCTGCCCTCCAGTTCAGATAATCTATCCTTAGTTTCTTTCAAGCTGTTATGCCAGTTTTCAATAGGGTTTTTAGTTTCCTGGTAATCTCTTTTAACCTGCTTCACGTATTCTATGTTTTCTCTATTTTCTCCATAAAACAATTCTCCCCTTTTTTTCTGTTCTTCCATTTAACCATCTGTTTTTTCTTGGGTGGTGCTTAGCATTTCTCTTAACTATTCTGCTTATGTCTTGCTTCAGGTCATTAATAACTTCATTCACTCATCTATGAGGCTCTGGAGATAGCACTTTATGTCTATTGGTGCCGTGTTTGCTATTGCCTGTTTCTCAGGATTGGGGGCCAAGGAGTCTTTCTTGTTGCTCCCTCTTCCCATATTCTTTGTTCCTTATATACAAGCATATATAGGAGGCCCAGCTTCCTTCCCTGTCAGCCACAGTCTGTTTCAATTGCACAGGCTAGGTGTTCCCACCCACTGCAGCGCACCAGGGGGTTACAGACCGGACAGCCTATGCAGGGCCCACCCCTCCAGGTCAACCTACCGAAGGCTTCACTGCTCCAGGCACTCAGACCTGGGTTGTGCTAGCCTACTGGGTCTCAGCCAGCAGCATCACTTAGGCTAGGCACTGCTCACCAATCCCGCTTGAGAGGGGTATATGTGACTGAAGTCACTAAAGCGCCCTGTTCTGGCAAGTCTGCCCAGTCCCAGAATGTCCTCTGTTGGAGCTTCCTAGATCGTGGAAGAGTCCCAGTTTCCCTTACTCACTGCAGGTCGATGCACAGCTCCCCACCTGTCCTGCTCTCAACTCCATTCACCAATTCCGGTTCTCAGAGCTTTCGCATGTCTCTCTCCCTGCCAAGCTGATTCAGACACTGCAGCAGCGGCGGCTTCCAATGGCGCGGGCTCTAGTTTCCACGCTGAGGCTTTATCTGTCCCTGTTACAGTGTGAGGATTGCATTCCCAGTTGGTTTCTCTCAGCTCAGTTCATTCTTGGATCAGCAGGGTATATCTCCTCTTTCTTAGGATTCCTCACTCCGCACCATTCCTGGATTCTAAGCTGGGTCTTTCAGAGAGCCTCTGTAGCTGCTGTTATCTGTCCGCCATGTTCTCCTGGAAGTCCACGAAGGTATTTCTTTATGTTTGCTGATATTGTGGCTGATCTTGCATGATTGCTGCCCTGGATCTTTTCTGTATTTACCTCTCCTGGACTTATTTTCCCAGGGTCAGTGGCTGGAGCCTTTTTCTTATTTCTTTCTCTTATCATGTTTCTGGTTTCCTTCAGACAGGTGTATGGTGGAGGTCTCAGGCCCTCTCCATATTGTTTATGGTTTTTCTAAAGCATGCTGGCTGGGGGCTTGCTGCCTTCTCCAGTTTGCTGTTATCTGAGATGCATGCAGGGGCGATGTGGGATGGCCTCTCTCCTCTGAGCTGATCAACTGGCGAGTGCCTTCAGAAAATTAGTCTGTGCTGTATAGACGTCACAGGTTCGGGACAGTTTTGTCCCTGGCTATTGGGTCCCGACCAGGGGGGTGACTCAGCCCAAGCAGATCTCACCAGTCCTCTCTGGGCCAGGGGCAGCTAACTGATGGCACTGCAGTTCTGGGTTTAGTCCTTGTTCTGCCCAACTCCAATATGTCTTCCAGCTGGCCACACCCACCACCAGACCTAATTTCCAGCACTCACCATGAATTAATGCAGTTCTCCACCTTGGCTACACTCTACAATGTGCGTATCCTCCCGCCAAGGGCCCTGGACTCACCAACTCCTGTTATAGGTGGCCACAGCTTCAGTATGACCGTGAATCGTCTAACTCCACAGTGCGCCCAGCACAGCACAGCACCAGTCCCAGTGAGCATGTCTGTTTCCAGCCTTTCATCCATGTTTTTCCTTCCTTTCTTTTTTTCTCCCTCAGTTTCTTCCTGGGTCATGAGAATCCCTCTCCTTTCATCTGGTCTTCTCCATGTAGTTAAATTCTAGCGTCTAAGTTGTTTTTCTCAGTGAGGCTCTCTACCCTGCTATCTATCAAGCTGCCATCTTCAGAACCCCCTGATTGGCATTCTTTTTTATAACCTCCCTTCTACTGAATAAGCAAGTCAAGAGAAATCATCTGCAGTAGTAAAGAAATCAAGAGGTTCTCCTTGTTAACAACTTTTAACTTAGGGCTTTCTGATTTCTAAAAATTATATTAGTGACTTTTTAAAAAGTCCATGACCTACTTGTGCACCTTCAAAGTGACTCCTCAAACAAGAAGTCATGTAGCATAGGCTCCAAAACAATAACACAACATTAATCAACACCAAAATGGAAAAGTAAGTATGGCCATGGGAGATAGAATTATCTAAGACTCCACCCAAGGTGGAGGAAAAAAAAACTGTGAAGGGATTTAGGATAGTAAATAACCCTGGAGCAGACTCTGGTCCTTTGGCCAGTTGTTAATCTCTATTAGAGAGAAAAACCTCAGAACCCAGAAATTCTTCTGTGACCTGCACTGCCTTGGTAATAGGAGGCATGTGATTGCCAGGAGAGCCCCAGGAATGTCACAACTTCTTTGTTGCAATCCAAGATAAAAAGAAAGAAGCCAGGGAAGAATGGAGGAAGACAGGGAGAAAGGCAGAGAGAAGAAAAGGAAAGGGAAGGGGAGGAGAAAAATGAAAGAAAAAAGACAGAAGAGGAGAGAGACAGACGCCAAAGAAGAAAGACCAGTTTACCATGCTGCTCACAACTGCAAGCTAATTGATAATGACCCACTAGGGTCTTCCCCAGCCTTGAAGGAAGGAAAGCAAACCAGAGTTACAGACTATTATAGGCAAAAGGTAGCTGTTATTAGCAAAGCCCCAGCCCTAAAATCAATAGTTAACTTTTCTCTCTGAACTCTCCCTTCCATACACATTTTATAAGATCATTTGAGGAAAATTTAGAAATGAGCCATGTCCAACACATTCAGCTGTCACTGTCACTAGCCACATACTGATCTCTTCTCTTTGGTTGAATCTTTGCCCCTTTCTTACCCAATACAGAAGAAAATAGTAAGAGTCAGAACCACAAGGCTGACTTAGATGGAGACATATGTCCTCTGAACCTGGTGCCATCATGAGGGCAGAACTATACAAGATAATCTAAGACCTTTCTATAACTACTCACAAATCCCATACTCCACTAACAAGAAGTTATAGTCTCTTTAGACACTACTCCTTCTTGCCAATAATGGCCTATGGCTAACCTCTCATTTTTAAAGAGAGCTTTAAAATGTTTCCCTAGTTGAGAATGGTAAAAAGCATCAGCTGTTTCTGGATCCTTTCTTTTTTTAAGAGCAGAATATATTTATTGAGAGAAAGAAAGCTTCTGAGAGACAGATGGGGTCTCAAGTGGGTTGCCAAGGACCTAGTCTTTTCTAGGAATTTTATAGAGCAAAACCACAAAGTGAGGTGGTTCCAAGGTAGGGAAAAATGGGAAACTGCAAGGTGGGCACGAGGTGGGAGAGGACTATGGCCAACCAATAAGATTATGAGTATAACTGCTCAGATAAAATTGATTAAATCAGTATCAAATGGGGAAGCCAGTAATGTAGCAAGCAGGCATAAATACAGAACAGGGCCTTTGCCTGTAGAGGGTTAGAATAGTGAATTCTTCTGGCTTCTTCAAGGTGATGGATATATATTAGAATATCAATCCTTGATGTTTATCCTTAAGGTATGGGTACATTTATCTTTTTTCTTGAGGTCTGATACACCGAAAGTGGTGCCTATCTTCCCTATAGCTGCAAGGTATATGGTCTTTTGAACTGATTCCTTCTTTCAAGGACCTAGCTCTATCTGGACCCTTTCAATGGAAGCTGCACTTTTCTGAATAATAGAAATCAGACCCAGTGCCCACTGACTGCAGAGGACAAGAAGTACTCTTGATCTTGCAAGTCTTCCAAAGGAATTCATACCAATGTTGGACTTGCCGTGACCCTTTCCTATCCAAACAGATCAGAACATATGTTTTGAGATGATTATTTTATTAAGGAGAAAGACAAAAACAGTTATATTCCAACCATCTGGTGTGCTAGCATGATACATATTTTTTCTTATAGTTAATAGGTATATACTTATATAAAAATTCACTGAGTATATATTTAAGATTACAGCATTTTGCATATTTCACTGCCTATAATTTTTAACTTTTTAATTAGGTGTAAGAGTTCTACTCTATTTCACAAGCCAAGAGCATTGGGGTATACTGGAAGTGTTGACAAACTTATGGCACACATGCTGGAGTTGACTGTTTCTATCTCTAAAAGCTCTAAAAGGTTTGCCATCACTACTAGACTATGCCCCAGTCGGCACCTGACTCTATAAGACATTCCTTTTCATATTTTCGTAGCTGAGAGGTTCATTATTTCCGTATTCCACAGTTCTCATGAAAGGGTAAGTGACTTTGATTCCAATCCATTCAGAGGGAATCAGCATAAGAAGAACCAATGATCCATATCTACCCATCAGAGCCTTATCATAAACTGTGTAAGCTGTGAAAATCTAACGTAAGTTAAAGAAAAACAACTGCACCTATCAATGACTCTCCAATGTCCAGATAACATTTCAAAACATAAAAACTTCTTAATTAGACCTCCATGGCAAGGATCTAAAATTTAGGATGCACAATGAAGCCTTACCTGCTTGCAGGTACTCTGGTTGCAGAGTTGGAGGCAGGCCCTCAGGTAGGGGGTAGCCATTCTTCCGTGCCACAATGAGATGGAATGCAGCACAGAATTCAGGCAGGGTCAGGGCTCCATCACAGTCAGCGTCGCTAAGTTCCCTAAACATAACAGATGTCATTAGTACCTGCCATGAGAGTCAGCCTCAAATCTGCAAATGGAATTCCTAGGCTCTGTCTTACAACACTGATAACATGACACAAGAAACTAGCACAAAAAGAAAAGCAATACCTGTATATACCCAGTTAGTAGACAGTCATTCAGAAAACACAGGCTGCTGATGTGAAGAGCCCAACTTAACACTTGGAATAGGCCAAGGAAGCTCAGACCCAGTCATTAGGCAAGTTACCCAGAACACAGGAATGAATAGGTGATTCATTTCTCAGCTCTGAGGGAAAACGAACTTTCTACACCATGAAAATTTTTGTAGCAAACTCTTCTGTGCTTAAATATTCCCTCTTGTGAAAATACAAATAAGCTCAGTAAATATTCACTGACTTACGTTTCAAGATAAAACTAGGAACTGGGGAAGGCTGGAACCAGATAAGACAAAAAGAAAGAAAGAGAGTCTTAAAAAGGGTTATCCGCTTCAGTCACTGTTTCCCACTGAAAGGCAGAGTTTAATAGGCACAAAAGAAACCTATTCACCAAAGGAACTAAGGGGCCCATAAACTCAGTCTCTCAGTGTACAGAGACAAAGATACTTGCATGAGGACAGGTACAGAGACAGAACTCACACAAGACTATACTACAAAGGTGTTACTATTAGAAAAAAATAAACTCCGTAACTTCCCTTTAGACCTGCCTGCTCTCCCACTTCCTCCTCCCTCTCCCCTTCTTCCTCCTCCACTTTAGAAAGCACCAGCCCTGAGATACCTGTTTCCTAGGGAACTGCTTCAAACGCTTGATGGAGACAACACCACTCAGCCTTCACGAATATGTCTTGACAAAAAAAGACAGGAAGCCTCATGCCACTAATATTAAAGCTTGGAATTCTGCCAAAACAGGCAGTATTGTTTTCAAAATGATGTTTCTTTTTTTTCTAGCTTTAAAATCTAATATAAGGATTGTTGTAAAAATTATGCCACAGTATATCATTTAAAGAACCTAAATCTAGTCCACAACACCAGATACACTGGCATGTGTGAGTACTATTGAAGTAATTTTTCAATAAGATGCACAAAACATGACATGCAATTGTAAATCCTATCAAAATTTTTGTGAACTCTCATAAAAAAGCTTTACATAAATATTCCAATGTTTTGATTACATATTTATAACAGCACAAACTCCTGCCTAGTCTCAGGGAAATACTAGCCTGCACACAGCTGAGGGTTTATGATGCTGAGCATTTTCATAGGTGTAAATACAGCCATCTGGATGATCTCAGCATAGTCCTTCTGGAGCTAGGCTCTTCAGCAAGGTGCAACAATGGCACTACAGCTGCAAGGCTGAATTAGGGCCCAGCCAAGAAACCCTGGCCAAATTTAGGAAGCTAAGAGGCAGCTAGGATAATCAAATTTCACTTATTTCCAAAATGTTCCTGAACCACCTTTATTCACTGAGCCTTTTAAATATAAAGAATAGCTTTTTAAGATCTTCTAGTTACATGTGCACCTATGTTTATAGCAGCACAATTTGTAATCGCCAGATCTTGGAAACAACCCAAGTGTCCATCAACTGAGGAATGGATAAAAAAGTTGTGGTATTTCTATACAATGGAGTATTACTCAGCTATAAAGAAGGATCACATTGAGATATTTATCAATAAATGGGCACAGCTTGAGACCATACTCATAAGTGAAATAAATCAATCTCGCATGTGTGAATACCGAATAGTTTCCCTAATGTAAGTAATGATTCAAATATATAAAAATATGTGATAATCATGATTCCCCATTATGTGGCCTTGAAGCCTTATAAAATTTTCACTTATTAATTAGAAAGGCTTTACTCTGGGCTTTTTGATATGGAAATACTTGAAGCTATAGTATATGAAGTTTTATCCAAATATTTTAAGGAAAAAGACAGACACTATGGTAACTACTATTCTTTAAAAAAATTATTTAGCTATTTCTTATGTTTATTTTAATTAAGGGAAAAACTTAAAAAATTAGGATATATAGTAGTAACTCTTTTTGATCTCCTATTAACTTGTTTTGAAGTCCTGTAATACTCCCAAGATCTTGTTTTGACTGATTAGACTCTGTTCCATTCTGTGCGATAGTAGCAAGTTTGAAGGTATAGGCAACTAATTTGAAGGCAATAAGATTCACAAAGATGCCCATTCTGGTTTGACTATTGTCTCCTTTGGAAGTCCTGTAATGTTCACAATGCCTAAGTTTTATTGGTCTTGTTCTCCACTGTTTTGTCCGGCTTTATAATATCTAATGAGATGGACAATTCCTTTTAAGGAAACAAGAGACAATGTTGATAACCATTGTTGATGACCTTGTACTCTGTTCTACATCATGTGCTATGTCTATCTATGGTTTTGACTTACAGCTTTGTTTTGCCATATTTGACTTTATTCTCTCCCCCCCAAAAAAGTAATAAGAACTAAGGAGTAATAAAATCCAAAATGTGTAAATTTTGTTATAAAAAAGAGAGGGAGGGGAAAAAAAAGAGCTCTAACGGATTTAACAACAAGTGTGTTTAGGGATGTTAAATAGCTGACTATATTAATGTTTTTGGATCATTGAACACAGCTGTTTGCAGTCTCTCCGTTTGAATGTCTACTTTGTATTCTTTGATACTGTGATTTGAGCAACTATTTCCAAGATGATATTATGTAATCTATTAACAGGTGATTTCTTACTGTTATGTTTTTTTTTGTAGTTCTGTATTATGTGTAACCTTACACTGCTTTGTTTTGTTTTGTGTTTTTCTCTTTTTCCTCTTAAATTAAAAAAAAAAAAAAAAGATCTTCTAGTTACTTGCCTCAGCCCTACTAGAAAACTGTGAAAATAAAATATGTAAGACAGAAAGTCACAATGCCCACAACTGCCTAGACTGAAAAGGGACTGAGGTGGAGACAATAATTAGGAAATTATTTTAATAGTCAACACGGTGTACAATGTATGTTAGGTACTGTTCATTGTGCTTTTCCTATGGTAACATATTGAACCTTTAAGCAACAAAAATCTGTTTTATATTCTCTTAATCTGTTAAAAAATTCATTCAAAAAATAAGCCTCTTATAGACGCTAAAGGATGAGTATTATGGTAATATGTTACTATGGGCAATACTTGTACTCACCATATATAAGAGAGTTCTGGAATGGAAAGCTTTGACTTGGTGAAGAAGTTTTTGGCCACAGAGCCTGTAAAAAGTAGTTGTTTAAATAAAGCATTAATGACTTATCTAAGGAAGCTTTTATTTTTATATATAAATTAATCACCACTTATTTTATTCAGCAATCTCATAGAGCCACAAGCACAACTAAAAATCACAGAACTAAGAGCAACCTAGTGTGGGCAAGTTCCTGGATTCAATCTCCAGCTCCACTAGGATCAATAAATAAAAATAAAAGAAACATATGAACAGCTTTTAAAACAACATATAGATTAGAATAGAGCAAAAGAAGTAATGACATTTTGCATGACAGATGCAAGTCACATAAATTAATTGCTACTTTGTTCTTATCCAAAAAAACTGAAAATTTTTCCTAAAAATTTAAAAGACAAATTTCAAAATTATTTAAGTGAAAATATGTTAAGTTCTTATATTTACAAGATAGAAAAGTAAAACACAGTCACGGAAGAAAAGTTAAGCAAGAAGAAAACAACACTGGTATCACTAACAGATATTCTGGGAAGTATTTTTGGTGAGGCTTAACATTTCTTGGTGACTTTTTAAGGACTTTGTCCAGGAATTTTTCTTTAGTTGTAAATTTACCTATATCAAGGCAGGCAATCGTTCCACTGTATATGTTGTATAATTGAGAATCCTACCTGTACTTGAAATGTTAGTCTTCACTAAGATTCAACTTGCTTATGCTTTGAGCCTTTCTCAACACAGTTTCACAGTTCAAAAATATTGATTCTAATTAACTATTTTAAAGAACAGTTCAATCAAAGCTCCAAGCTCTATTCTAAACTGATAAACAAAGGTTTTTCCATGCCAATCATGTCTTCTAAATGGCTTAAAAACAATGTATTATACTGGACCTTAATTTAGATTTATTTTCCTTCAACAGATTATCAAGGATCAAAGGCAAACTACCCTATAAACCAATGAGCGCTCTCTCCAAAAGCGTCCTGGAAATAATGTTGATACTTGAGTCTTGCCCAACACTGCAACCACTTTGTCAAACATTTGTCAGAACTGTCTTACAACTTGCCTCTTATAGAGACACCCTCCTCTCGTGAAAATTTCATTTCGCCCTGCATCTCCTTTTTTGCAACTAGACGCACAAACCCACATAAAAGTTAGGTGAAATCCATAGGAAGCTGAAAGCTAACACGTTCAGTTGTGCTTTGACTGCTACCACCAAAGCAGGAAGCTGAGGAGAAAGCCTGATGCTCCCTACTTTGACACTGATTGTGTGAGAAGTACAAACAAAAAAGTTAAAAGACAATAAAAACACTTTTTGGTACCAGGCATCAACTCATGACCTCGCACTTACCAAGCAGGTGTTTATGTCGCTGAGCTAAACCCCCAGCCAATAAAAACATTTTTAACACACACATACACACATATTATTTGCATTTGGCATATGTTGAGAAGAAACTCCCTTGAGTAAGGGTAAATTTATCAAGTGGTCAATACATACAATCTGGGATTCTTCTTTTTCTTTTTTTTGAGACAGGGTCTCACTATGCAGTTCAGGCTGGCTTTGAGCTCACTTTGTAGCCCAGGCTGGCCTCCAACTTGCAAGGACCCTCCTGCCTCAGTCTCCAGGGTGCTGGGATTATAGGTGTGTACCACCACACCCAGCTCAACAATCTGGGATTGTAGTAACATTAATTTGTTGTATCTATACTATTCTGCTTTCAGTAGTTACTGCCATCAATCAGAAAATGATGTTTCCATTTATTTATGTATCTCAATCACACAACTTAAAGAAGAAAACTATTGTTAACCCACACTTTAATATGTGAAGTTACAATTACCAAGAACACACTGTTATTCTTCATGAAGTATAAACAGTAATGTGAATTGTTCTTGCAGACTCTACTATTTCACTGTTTGTTTAAGCATCAGCCTGGTAAAATGTAGGCATACACAGGAATTAAATCAATTCTTCTCCAGTTAAATTTTATTTTGAGAACTCTGTAGGAATACATAGATCTAAAGATAGTCCAGAAGGACTGACAGGTGGACAAATCCTGTCCAATTTTCCTCTGACATTTTAATTTCTCTCAGGAAAAAAAACAAAAGAAAATTTTGAGCCAAAGAAAATTAGCCTGAGTTTAGCCTTCTAGGGTGTGTAAAATATAAGGAGACTTGTGATACTAATTCCTTAGAAGACTATGCTCCATCCCAGCTCTGGCTGTAATATAATGAATAAGCAATTTAACACACCATTTTGGGGCTACAATTTAACCATTTCAAGAACTGCTTCAGCTAATAAGGTGCATGGTTTGGACCAGGTTCTCCCAAATTCCCATTTAACCTCTCTGAAACAGCAACATAGTAATTTTCTCAATGTCATTGTCATCTTTTTTTCTGCATGATTTCTATTTGATAAGAAATCTCACCTTAGAAGAAAAAAAACTGAAATCCCAGAAGTTTGTCATTCATTTTGTGTGAACTATCTTCGCAAGATATTTACCATTACGTGTGTGAGAACAATGTCCAGGGATCCCAGGTTCTCACCTGAAATGAAGGAACTGGGGTCTGGCTGAAGGGAACGGAACTGATTGACGTAGTATTCCCGCTGTTCTTCAGTTATCCTCCAGGGTTCATCTGGGTAACTGCTGTTGTTATCTTGCAGCTCTCTCTCTACTGAAAAGGACTTTAAAAATAAAAGGGAAATTCTCAGAGTGCCTGTGGTGAGTTGAAAATTTAAATGCCAATAAAAATTATCATGCATTATACTAAATTTTTTCCCCAAGGAAACAAATTTATATGTATCATAACTTCAACATAAACTGAAGGGTACACATCAAGCTTCACTGCTTTTTTTAGTCCTCAAAATTGTTAACAGGACTGCATGAAATACTGAACACTTGGTAAGTGACAAAAAAATTTCCAATATGATGAAGGGTAAAAATTCATTCTTATCTTCAACTAGTCATCATATTTTGATTCCTTCTGACCAGCTGAGTAGACAGAAAATTCAGATTCTTTTTAAACCATAATTAAAACCTATTAGAAAAGCCATAACCACAGTATTTTTATGCATTCACATTGTATAAATCCAGGAATCAAAACTGCAAACTGAAATCCAATGTCCTCGGGTCCTACATGGGTGGCAAGTCAAGGTCACTGACCCTGTCTTTCCACATGTGTAGCTGGGGAGACAATAATACTTAGTAGCAGAAGTAAGCAGTAAGAACCGATGTCATGGTATCACCATGAGCAGGATAACGAGGATGCATCTGACCTGCCACTAGAGGGCAAGCACGTCAAATGTCAAGATTTAAGAGCCCAGAAAACTGGAGAAAGCAGTACAGTAAAACACAAAAGCTCTATTAGGCTTTCGGGGAAAGAAACAAAAATGATGAGGCAGGGAAAAGCCAGGGCTTTGTCCCATCTTGCCTATCTACCTTAAGACTAAGGGACTGGCCACTTGCAAAGGGCCACTTCCACAAAACCAAGAGGTAAACACAAAAAGGGTGAGCTTTAGGACAAAAGGAAACTAGGAAAGATATGGAGGGATGTTACTGCCAAAAAGCCATCAAGCTACCTGGCTCTGAGCACAATGTCGAGGAATTAATCATTTGTAGGGCATTCTATCCACTCTCTCTAGAGACCACCCCCCATACACCATTCCGGAAATTAAAGCTTCCCGAGAATGCCTGTCCCACACCACGTTGGAGGGGGAAAGGAGACTATAAAATTTGGAGCTGTGATATAACCTTGAGATGTTATCTTTGCAGTAAAACATCTATCACTTTGACAACTGAAACCTTGGGCTAAGGGTGCTGTGGGAGAATGGCGTGAAATGCTGCCGGGAGAATTGATGTTTCCAGAAGTGCTGAGTGAGACTGCACAGTAAAGAGGCCATTCCTCAAAGAAAGAATTGGGATCCTCCACCATGGTCAGGAGGAAGGTCACAGAGAAGCTGAGAGCTAGAGATCAATATACATCATTAGTAATCACTGTATCACTTTCATATTAGATGAGTTTCTACTAAATGTAAATTAAACCATTTTTAAATGTACAGGGACTCACTGTCCATTAGTTAATACCTCAAATTCACAGCACGCTTTGACACATACAAAGCATTTCACACACCCCTACCTCATTTGAGAATCTCAAGACATTTGAGAGGCAGGCACAGGAGGTATTATTATCCTTTTCCCAGAGAGCTTAAAGGACTTGTCCATGTGTTTTAGGGAAACCGCACAGACAACAAATAATGGCCCTCTTTCTTTTTATAATCTCTTTATTCAGAGTCACATTCTTGCATATCCAGATTTTTAAACTGGAGTTTTCAGAATTTTTTTTTCAGAAATCACATACAGTTCCAGTAACAAACAATATAAAGAAAGAAAAGCAAAAAAAATTAAAACTCAAGCTGAGCACTGGATGGACCACAAAACTTTCTAAAATGCTCCCACCATATTGCAAAACTATGCCCTAGAAGCACTGTCTCAATGAACCCAGCTGTCTGACAGGTTCAGAAGCAGAATACAGAGTAGAGGAGCGCCAGCTGGGATTGTAGATACCTGGTCAGATGGTAACATGGAACGCTCTTCAGGGCACTCTTTTCCAGGTCAGCTCTGACAGAAAGTGTTTGAGTAAGTTAACTGACCAGCTGGGCACAGGTAGGAGAGAGCAGGATGGATGTTTGTGAGGATGAAGTGGGCAGACACGGTTCAAAAACTTAGTCCCCCTACTTTTCTATGAATAAAGGCATAGAAATCGCATGCTCAGTGTTAGCCTTCTGCATTCCCTGCTTGTGAAATGGAAGCTACTGTCCCCCAGGGATATACTCTTCCCTCCTAGTAACACAGCTGCCCTGTCCAGTTGTTGCTAATGTCAGCACACATGTGTTATTTCCCCAATTCTATGACCACCTGCTCACTATTTCTTCTTCATGTCACCGCGTGTCTGGGTGACATTAGTGGCCTCTTAGTAAACTTCAAATCTGTTTTGACAGCAGGAATCGGGAATGAACAGGACAGGGCCATATATTCCTCTTCTAAAGGCCTACAGAGATGATCTGTTGCCTAACAAAATAGTTCATGTCCTCTACCCGGCCTTCAGAGCCCTATGTATCCAGCCTTCTCCTCACCCACTCTCAGCTCCCTGCTTAGGGGAGAAAGTCCTGCCTTATTCACAGGACATCCTTCTCTTCTCCCAGCCTACCCAAGGCCTACCCATTCCTTAAGTCCCAGTGCCCAGAGGGCTCTCCATGTATCTCCCATGCCCACAGCTGCAACAGAGGGCACTGCTGCCCATCCTCTCACTGTGCTACCAAGGTGGGGCCTGCAGCCACATGTGGACCCAAGCCCCATCTTGTACTTGGTTTCGCCTACTGACTCAGTAAGCATGACATGCACACAGAACACTGGCCTTTGAAGTGCTCTGACATGGAAAGCTCTTCCCCATCAAGAAAACTTGGACCTGATGCTTATTCTTAGAGATGTAGACAAGAAATAGAAAGATAACAAGCAGAAAAAGCAGAAACTGAACAGACACACAACAGGGCTCTGATGTAAATGCTAGGTGGGACTTAAAAGTTAGGAGGGGGCAGAACCAAGCCCAGTAGTACTCACGAGGTAGCCAGCAATATATTGTAGGAATAAGGAAGGCTGCTGGCAGCTGATGCTAAACAGACAGCGAGGCAAGGCAAAGCAACTAGGGCCAGACCCATAATGGCACAATGAACAGGAACCAGCAAGAACTCCACTTCTGAGGACCACCAGCTCACTCCTTGTCTCTCACTTCTTGGATTCTTCTTCCTCTTCAAGAAAACTTAAGCTTGGAAGGAGAGTTAGTTCGTACTCCCCAAGACCAAAAAGGTTCTACAACAAAAGGAGAGGCACATGAACGCTGTGTAACCCACATGTAGTGCGGTCCTTCAATCACTTGCATTATCCTCATCTCCTTTCCCCTTGCTTCTCACTGTGTATTTTATTTCATGTGTGTGTGCGTGCATGTGTGTTGCTGAGGATTGAACCTGGGGCCTCACACATGCTAGGCAAGTGCTCTACCACTGAACTACACACTCAGCATCAATATATATTCTAAATTGATTTAATAAATCAAATGACTTGACCATCTTAAAATTTGTATCTTTAAGATAACAGTGGTAAATACTAAGAGTCTGAACATTTCAAGCAGTCTTAAGTATCTTCACCTAGGTTTTAACACAGAGGTTTACAGTCACATGAGACACTACTTTAGCCTACATGCAGTCCCCTAGCAGGTATATACCTGCTAGGTGATATCACAGACACTATAAAGTATGTCTACTTATTGACAGGCTTGAGTAAGTTCAGGGATATGTTCTTAGTCACAGCAAGTCCAAGAATCTATTTCATATTTTAAAGTTTGAGAACTAACAAACGAAGTTCCTGAATTTTTGTAATTCACCTATTGTCTGATCTTTATAGGAATTTTCAAATCCCATATATGAGTATTTCAAGGATAAATGTATGCAGAGAGAATATATAATATTCCAAAGATCTTTAAGCTGAACTATTCCAAGTGGAAGCTGATCCACTACAAGAAGCAAGAGCATTTAAATTTCACTGCATAAAGTGAGCTGGTTATTCATTCACTCAACAGGTGTTTATTGAACACCAACAATATCCCAGGACTTTGGTCACTAGGGGGCACATGAATGAGCAACCATATTCTTCTTCCCAGGAAGCTTAGATTCCATGAGGGAGAAAGACACACAAGCAATTTCAAAACAGTAATGAAGTATTTTGCCAAGATATTATTCAGCTTTGCTGCACAAAGTGTGGCCCCACCTACATCAGCATCACTGGGGACTTGTTAAAAATACAGCTTCTCATGTTCTCATGTGGCAGGAAGTCTAATAGTGGGGCCCAGGACTCTGATTTAGCAAGCCCTCTAGGTTAAGCACAGGCAAGTTTGAGAAGTAATGCCACAAGGCAGGCAAGGCAGGGGAAATCAAAGGAATAGCAATTTCAGGGACATCAAAATGTGGGAGAAAATGGCCATCTCGTGAAAGCAGCACCACTGGGCCACATGCAGGCAAATTATACTGGCAGTGCAGCCCAGATTATTAGTGGAGTTGCCTCAAGCTGTTCCAGAAGACAGCAGGGTCCAGAGATAACAGGCTCCAACTGCACCATGAATACCCTAGGGAACCATGGGTAAGTATTAAACAGGGAGATCACATAATCAGATTTGAATTTTGAGTTACAGAAAGATCACTTCTGTGAGGATTTTGGAATGGTAGAGACTAAAGGCAGGAAGACCAATTACAGGTGGATTACAAATCTGGCCCAGAAGTACGAAGGACTCTCAGAGACAGAGAGAGAAGAGGGAGAAAAAGCTATAGAGCTACCACTCAGAGCTGCTCGTTCTAGGTAGCTCAGCACCTTCTTTGTCAGCAGCTAGGGGCCATGTGCCTGCAGGACCCAAATGCATGAGACTATTTCCTCTGAACCAACTGAACACTGACCATAATAGTCAACATATCATCTTAGATAAAGATCTGAAAATTCAGTCACTTAAGAGAGAATGGCTACTTGAGGGCACAAATAGTAGAAGTCAGAGATCAGGAAAACCTTAGGAGGCCTCTCCAGTTCAACTCTAACTTTAGTGGTTTCGTTGGTCAACCACAGATACTTGCTACTTGATGCCAAT